CCCTCCGGACCGAGGGATCGAGACTGCAGGTTTGCCGAGGGTTTGCATCCCACCGAGCGTGGGCTGGCCGCGGGAAGGGATATTTTTTAAAGCCAGTTCGATAAATAACAGACCACCACCTACGGGCAGCCGCACGCCTCGGCCCCGGCAGAGGGGACGGCGCGCAGCTCCTTCTTCCCAGCGAAAGGAGCACCTGCGGGCCCTGTACAGATTTTTAGCAGGAGCTTTAATTAACTCCCACAAGGAGAGCGAGCGCACTCTTTCAGCTTTTAATGCTTGGAAAAGAAATTTCCAGACTAAGGAGAGGGAAGGTCCCGGGACGCCGAGAGCCGTGACGGACACGCTGCATCCGCAGGTGTGCAGAAACAGGCACCCACCTTTTTTTTTTTTTCCTATCCTTTGGCCAAGAGCTTTTACTCACCATAGCGAAGGCGGCACAACAGCACGTGCACGCCGCCACCTTCCCGGGCTGCAGACAAGCAGGAACCCGTCTTCGTCAGGAACCCGGAGGAAGACCAGGGACCACACCTGAGACAGGAGCGGCTTTAGCATCAGCTGCTCCTTCCATAGCACAGACCTTCCCCCTCTTTATAAAAAGTGCTTTGCAATCTACTGACGAGAAGTTTTATTATTGCTGCTTCTGGGTAACAGCATCCTCTCTCTTCAGGTCTTCACATATTGAAATCGTCCCGGGAACGGCATGAACAAAGCAGAACCTCAGCAAATACCCTGCAACGGAGCCAAAAGCGAGACAGGATCAGAACAAAGCTCCAGGAAGGGAGGAAGAAACAGCTTTTCCACAAGATCGCTTGGTGTAACATTTTTTTCTTATTAAATAAGCAGAACTGTGGGAGGAGCAGCTTCCTTCACCTTATTACCTACAGCTATTTCAAGCATGCACATTTGTTCCACGCATGGTTTTATACAGGTGTTTCCCAAGAACACAACACTTAGATTACTCCCTGTCAGAAACAGGTCCCGAGGAAAAAAAAAAAAAAACCACAGTGCAAGGAAATACTGTCTCAACCAACACTACAGCAACTCGTAGTGATTTCCGATCCAGAACGCTGTTATACAGCAAGCAGCACGAGCTGCTGCAAGCGTTCGGCCCTCTCCCCTCTTTCCCCCGGCTCTCCCAAGTCAAACAGACTCAAGGACCCCTGACTCTCATTTTTAACTACATGCACATCGTGAATTATAAGTGTGCGAGGGTAAAAAGGGAACAGCAAGGCATCGGAGCTCTGTTGGCTTTTTTCCTGTAACACACACACACTGATTCATATATTGGTTAATTTTAACCCAGTCAGCTACCAGCAACTTCACTAGCTAAAGAATAATCATCTGGTATGTGTTCTCAAGTTGTTCGAGTTTCGGGTTCAATGCTTTAGCGGTAACGGACACAGTCCCAGAACGGGAGACTGAAAGCACTCCCCACTTCTTGCGATGAGCCGCAACGGCTTAAACTTTATTTTTTTTGCATTTCCAACAGGCAGACTAAAAATCACCACTGTAAACTCCCAGAAAAATACAAAACTGCAGCTTTCCTGATGACTTCAGACTGACACACTTGGTGCACAGGAGGAAGACACTTAGGGTAACCATTTACAGGATCACGAACACCTTCTCACCCATCTGACAACAGCCACTTGTTGTGTTAAGGCCCCAGGTGGCTGAATTTGGCTTTGCCCTTTTGCCTGACCTTCGACAGCAAGTTTTCGAAGTGCAGTAGTCCAACCTAGCTGCGATACAAGTGACAGACATATTTTTCATTTTAGGACATAGTTTCTAGCAGAATAAGTCTACAGCTTAGAGGACACGGTACTTGTAAAGCTTTTCCCTTGAAGGAGACACAGCAGCCAACGCTCACGGTACCACATAATCTAAGCAGCGCTCTTCTGCTTAGCACTAGACAAAAAATAGAGTTACAAGCTAATTCCACATTCAATGTTTATTTATTTGTAATACAAATAGAAACGTGTGCCCAAATCTCGCCTTAAAGTTCTACCCAGATTGTTAAAAAAAAAACCCTACAGAACATTCTTTCATCATCTGACAGTTAAAAAGCTGCATTTAAAATAATCAGAGTTTTCAGTAGCCTGTCAAAACAAGTGACATTTTACTGTCGGAGTATCTGCAACTTCTACCAAGGAGAAGTACTTTCTCAAGCAACAGCATTATTATACAATCAGTTGCTTATCATAAAAGATCTTATGATAGGACAATTTTTTAAAAATCAGTTTTAATAGAGATTTTCATAATGAAAGGAGTAAAAATCATGAAAAATCCTCACATCCAATTCAGGGAGACACAGACTCCACGCTTATTGGAAAAGCCAGTTTCAAGCAGTATCCTGCTCCAAAGGAAGACTCTCTTTGGTGACAGACTACTCCATTAGGAAGATACAGCATTTGGAATCCAAGAGTGCAGTTTTACATACTTTGAGTCAAAAAGGTGCATGTTGATCATTGAAACAACAACAAAAAAAAACAAGTTAAAAGCATTTTGAAATGTTGGGACACACACAAACACAAATACCCTATCAATTTTCTAGGTATCCATGCATGATCTTTATATATGAGCAACTTAGCCACATAAAAAGAAACCATGTCTCCGGTTCATTTCGGTCAATGTGCAAGTTCCTTTTGAAAAAGTTATTCAATACTTACTGTAATAGCGTAAATGAAGAGCTTGATAGTTCAACTATTATTAAGTGAACATACCATAGCTGAATTTAAATCTGTATTTCCTAACAGAGCATTCCATAAGTCTGTAGCTGTTGATAACTGCTGTTCAAAATTTAATTAAAAAAAAAAAAGATATTTTAAAATGTTACCAACATCTCCAGCATTAACTGAAAGGCATAAAAAGATGGTGAGGTATGAGAGCAATGGACTGCTCTGTATGTCAAGACTCCACTTTCAACCAACGACCACATAATTTCCAATCGTTCTTTCCCACCTCGCTCCAAGAAGTTTTAAAATTTGCAAAGCTACTGCCTCGGTAGCACAGTGACACGGGCATTCAGAGGTGCCTTTGTAAATAACTACCTAAAGCACTCCGCTGCAAATCTTAGGTGGAGATGTGTATTGGAAACAAAACATTCTACACAAGTTACATTGGGATTCTTTTCATTTTGTTTATAAAAACAAGAAATAATGAAGCAATTCTTTTAATTAAACGAAATGACCAAAACCACCAGATTTGACTACAGGAAAACGATGTGGCTCTTTTTCCCCCCGCCACCAAGATCTGCATGAGATCTGAGGCTGCAGACTGAATCCAGAGGAACCCAAACCCAAAAGAACAGAGAAAAACAACTCCATGTATACATATATATTCTGCTGCCTGCAACTGATATTGCCCTGGGATAGCACCACCACAAAAGGTTTTATGTGGCCTAGTGAAACTTCACAAATTCTTCCAGAGTTCTGGGGATCTGGTTTTGGTAGCTGATGTTATAGATCCGTACTGCTCGGGCAGCCAGGCACTTGAGACTCAGCTTCATTTGAGTTTTAAGGAGTATTTCAGACACCCCTGTTGTACTTTTATCAAGAGGGGTTTTCTTCTGCTTATTCGTCATGTCTGTATGAGCACCAGCCTCCACCAGGCTAATGATGATGGAATGCAATGTCAAGAAGTCACTGATGGGCCTGTGATATTGGACAATGATGTGGAGCGGACTGTTTCCTTCGTTGTCCACAGCGTTGACGTCAGCACCACAGTCTAGCAAGAGTTTTGTGACAAGCGCGTTGGGAAAGCTGCAGACATCATTTGTGTGGAAGTCATCAACCGGTGTACTGGAATTGACAGCGTGGTGCAGCAAACTAGAGCCATCCCGAGTTCTGGGATCAAGGTGAATCAGGTTATAAATCTGTTTGTTGATTCGCGACTGATCCTCTTCACTGCACTGGGTCTTGGTAGAGATGCAGACTAAGTAGAGAAAAGTAAAAATGTTGCATTCGTAGTTGTCCATGGCTGTGTGGATGTCAGAGTCTTGGGTGGTTTTGATCCGGGACATGCCTTGTTCTATTTCCAAGACGCTGCACCTCAGAACACTCTCGATGTCCTTGGCTTTAACAGGCTCGTTTAAGTGTATCATCTGAGAAAAGACTTGAGCAAACCTCAGGAGGTCCTTATGAGTGTTCCTATTGCCTTTTTGCCTTAGGTGCAATGCATGGAGCCATAGCTTAATACACTGTTCAAACTCCATGTTATCTGCATAAACAGCTCCCCGGTAAATAATAGGGTGAGAAACGTCGATATTGTCCGAGCCCAGAATTCTCTCTCGCACAATGAGGCCCTCCATGTGAAGGGCATCTCTGTCCTGCCTAATAGACTCTAATTCCTGAGGAGTCCTGCATTCAGTCCTGTTTCCGTAAGCTTCAATTTGTGGAAGAACTTCTTTTTCAATTATATTCTCGCTGTCTCGGTACCTCTCCAGCATCGCTAAATATAAATAGTGGTAAGTCTTCATTATATCATAGTTTTCTCTGTCATTTGCAAAAGAGGCACCCAAAAGTTCCAGAGCTTCAATCCGGCTTCTCCTATCACAGTCGGCGTGAGCAAGCAGCAGCTCTACAACGTCGGCCTTGCAACTCTCAGCAGCGACTTTCAACGGAGTCATCCCATGGCCGTTCACCATCATCGCCGCCTTCCACTTGACCAGCTCCCTCACTATTTCCAAGTGGCCGGCTTCGGCTGCAAAGTGCAACGCCGTGGCACCGCAGTGGGCCTTGGCGTTGGGATCGGCATGCTGCTCGAGGAGGTACCTCACCACGTCCGTGTGACCTTTGTAAGCTGCAATCATAAGGCAAGTGTTGTCGTACTTGTTGGCAATGCTGATGTTGGCATTGTTTTCTACCAGGTATTTCACAATGTCCAGTCTGCCATCAAAACACGCAGCCCGCAGGGGAGTCGAGTTGGTCACCGTAGTGTGATTCACATTGGCGCCGTGACTCACCAGCAATTTGACTACTTCAAAGTGGCCGGCTCCTGCTGCACACCAGAGAGCTGTGGCTCCATCAATGACAAAGCTGAAAATGTAAAGACAGAAACCAGCAGTTAAACTGACACTCTT